TTTTTTTTTTTTTTTTTTTTTTTTTTCGGGGAGCCTCGCCAGGAGCTCCGCAGAGATCCGTTGGTGACCCCCAGCAGCTCTTGATCTGTGTCCTTGGACAGGCTCAGGGCTGGCAGTTTGACTTGGCCGAGGAGGAGGTGGGTTTCCGCACCGCCGGCAGCGGGTAGAGCTGCCACAGAGCCAGGAGGTGGCTTAATTGTGCGGGTGGACCCCACGAAACAGCGTGACACGTTTCATTATCGGCCATTTCGTGCTGCTCTGTTCTGCCGCGTCGGGTACGCTGAACCGGAGGACGCAGCCAGAGACGCGAACCCTCCTCCTGGGGAGGGGGGGGGGGACGATGACGACGACCGTGCTTCGGGTTTTTGTGGCCACGTCCGTTTGCCGCCCGTGGCTGTCAGGACCCAGAGCGCTCGCTGAGCCCGCGGATGTGGGGCCTGGGTGTCCAGCGTGCTCCCTCCCCAAATCCCAGCCCTGGGAGAGAGGGAGGCCAACCCTCGCAGTGCCCTGGGGTGGCTTAACGGAATAGAAGTTGTTGGGATCTGTACGTAGCAGGAGAGCGCTGACGTGCTGGCCTTCTCGGGGGTGGTGCGTCTGATTAGTTTGGGCTATAATTAAGCGTTTTTGCCAGACTTTTTTTCTGGGAGCCGTGGTAACCCCGTGAATTTGCTCGATTGCTTCTGTCGAGGTGGACTTCCCTGCCTCCGTGTCGGCAGCGGGGCCGCCGGGATTAGTGACGGAGCTGTGCGTGGTTTGTCTCTCCCCTTTTCTCCCCCCAGCTTTGGGACCATTTGGACCACACAATGTTCTTTCCTGACTTCAGACCCTTTCTGAGTAGCAGCTCACTGGATCAAGACAGCAGGGACAACGAGAGGGGCCACCAAGCCCACGCCGACCTCTGGGGACCAAGCCGACCCCCGCGATTGCCCATGACGCGGAGGTACAGATCCCGGGGCAGCTCGCGCCCCGACAGGTCTCCTGCTATCGAAGGGTAAGTGCCCGAATGACCCCCCTGGAAGTGTCTCGTCAGTGGAAAAAATGTGGGATCTTGGGGAGAAACCCGGCGAAACGGGGTCCCGGCACTTACGGTAGGTGACCCTCGGACCCAGAAAACGCAGGTTTTCACATGAGATGCTCTGCTGTCTCCCCCTTTTCCCCCCCCCCCCCCCGGCACGAGTCGAAGCCGCGTGGTGGGAGAGGTGGGTTTTGCCTGTAACGGTGCCAACCCTCGCCGCAGGGAAGCGAGTCAGCGCTTGGGAAACTCAGTCATGTCCTCTCCCGGCCCTCCCACGCTCCGATGAGTTAGCATCCCTCGTTCCTTGGTGCTCTGTCTCGGGGCTCGCCCTCCTGCGGAGGGATTTACCGAGGCGTGAGTCTTGCAACGACGTGGCTGCGATCGATCGGAGCAGTATTTCGTGTTTCGCTGCCCGTTCTTGCTAAGCTGTTGCCGCTGCCGTGTGTGTGTTTGCTCAACTTGTTCTTTTTCTTTTTTTTTTTTTCTTTTTTTTCTCTTTCGATTACTCCCTCTTTAGAATAATACAGCAGATCTTTGCAGGGTTTTTTGCAAACTCAGCGATTCCTGGCTCACAACACCCTTTTTCCTGGTGAGTAGCGAGCACGGTTTAGACCCTGGCTTTGATCACGGCTGTCCGCACCAGTAAACAGCAGTGGTCTGGTGCCCGGGAGCTCCGTCCCCGCAGTGTGGCTCCTCTGGGAGGATCGTGCAAACCTCGGGGCTGGTTTGGGGCGAGCGAAACGGCTTCCTTGACTCTCTGCTCCCGTCTGCAGGAGTGGGATGCTGCACTCGAATCCTGGGGACTACGCGTGGGGACAGAGCGGCCTCGATGCCATCGTCACCCAGGTGAGACCCTCCTGTGTGCCTGGGTGGAGAAAGTCCCAAGCTGGCTGGCCCGGGCTTTGATCTGCGCCTGTAAGTTTTTGTGCTCCTCTCTGGTCGGCCCTACTGCTAGAGACGAGCCCTGGGTTTCGGACGAGGACTGGGAACCGACCGTCGGTGCCCGGCTTGGTGCCTGCTTGTGCCCTGCGTCTTCAGGGGGGGTCTAGGAGCAGGGATCGGACCTTATCCCTGTGGAAATACAGTGTCTTAGCTCGCCTCTCTGTCAACTCACGCGTGGCGCGAGGCTTGCAGGTGCCTTGCGGCGGGCTCAGCAGAGGCCAAAGATTAAAATCTCCAGCGTCAGCCCCGGATCTCTCACCAAATTCAGCAATTTGCAGCCGTGAGCCCTTTCCCCCCCCCCCCCCGTGGTTCGTGGAGGGATGAGCCGAGTCCGCTCCCGTTCCCTGGAAGCATCGTCTGGCTCCATTGAGGATCGGGGGTGTCCAGCCTCCGTCCACAAACAGTCTCGTCCAGGCTGTTGGCGTCACTGGGATGGGAAGAGCAGACGGATGCTGTACCGAGAGCTAATTTGGCTGCTGTTGTCGTGCTGACGCCTCCCAAAAGCGCCTGGCAGAGCCATCTGCTGCCATTCATAAGTAGCCCCTGGCTTCCCAGGCTGCGTCACACGCCCGTCTCGCCCGCCTTACTCACCGCTTCCTAAAACGAGCCTGCAGCCCACGTGGCCGCCCGGAGACGGCACCTTCCTCCTCCCACCCCGCGCCCGGCAGAGCGGAGCGAGCCCCGGCAGGCGCGGTGCGGCGGGGCTTGGGGGCGCGGGGCGGGAGCGGGTGGGTGCGC